TAAGAGCTTGATCTCCGATCTTAACGGCGTCGAGTCATCTTCGGGGGCGACAATTGCACATCTTCACGACCCCAGAAGGCTGCGATCCCGCCGAGTGGAAGGGAGCACACCGCGCCACCTGCTGTGTGCCGCCGTCCACTCGGCGGGGTCGCAGCTGCCTCTGGAAGGCACCGAGATGTACCTTTTTTCGCGCAATGGTCAAATCAAGGTTTTGTAACGCGAGCTGTGCCACAGTGGGCTGAGGGCCAAAAGTAAAACGCTCAACGCCGCTCTCGGCTCTCAGAGAGGCGTTATATCTCAGTAACCCCGCTCGCAGGTACTAGAGCAGCGTTCGTCAAGCTCAAACCCCACTCTGCACAACACAGAGCAGCGTTTGCCTAACAAGACTCCGCTCTGCAACCTTCAGAGCGGACTCTTGCTCAGAAAAACACCGACCAAACACGTACCTGGAAAAACCCGGGTATACCCGGGTAATACCCGCACTTTTGCATGGTTTCGCCCCTTGGACCACACCGACAGCCGCCACAACTAATGAAATCCCCGCATACCACTTTCGCATACCACTATACCATACCACTCCAAAACTAATCAAAATATCGCCAAATACCGGTCTCATACCGGTAAAGTTTGAGCACTGTCGCGGAGAGCGGGCGGCTCGCCCGCGCGCTTGACAAGGAGAGCGCAGCCGTCCCGCACCTCCGAAAGCTCCGCCTCACCCTAGTACTGGGGACCGTGCGACGGTCGCCCCCAGCCAACGAGCAACGTGGAAAAACGAGAGCACAGTCTCACGCGTGGTCAGCCCCTTACTCTTCCGCAAAAGAGAAATCGCACGTGGCGCTCAAGCAAAAGCAATCGTGCAAATGTCTGGGACAAGGATCATCGAGCGTGACGCAATTGAGGCCGCGAGACGCGAGCCGCGAGCCGCCCAGCAACGACGACTTTGACCGTTCTCTTCTCTCTCCCCATGTGCGCTCTGCACTCGCCGCCGCACGCCGCAGCGTGTCTCAAACAACTTCACCTCCACTCGTTGCCACACACAGGTGCTGCAACAACACTCACACTAAGAATACAAGAATGAGAATTGTTATCGAGGCTGCTTCGGAGGACACACGATTCCAGAAATGGTTGTGTCCCCGCTCCTCGCTCGCCCGGGCGGAGGGCATGGCCGCGGAGGAGGCGAGTACGCGCTGCCAGGCCTTCCGCAGACAGCCTCTTGGCCAGACTGAGGGTCGGCTTTGTGTGGCGTGGCCCGTGCGCTGCGCTGCACAAAGCTGCGTAAACTGCGGGAGCATCCTGTGCTTCCTTTGAGAAGTGCGCACCTCCTGCAGCTGGT